ATTTTACTTTTCTTATTCGTTAAATTGTGTAGCCGGCCGGAGACGAACGCGGCTTTATTTCGGACTTGATTGATGTGCGTAGTGAAAGTCATACGCGAGTCGAAAGTGACTCCTAAATATTTAACCGTTTTCCCAGGGGAGAGTTTGGCCATATAGTGATATTTGCCCCAACTTTCTGTACTGGCGAGGACCTTTGTAACGGTGTGGCGGATGGGGGTTGGGGGTGCTACGCGTGAAGTGAATCGCCACACTTTTTTCTGGATCCACACCCAGATCCGTAACAGTTACCTGTAAGGCGCATAAGTACTGTACCCATGTAGTAATCGAACCTAGGATTCTTTCCATTCGAATTCCCTTTTACACATACATTTTTGTACATAAACTGATAGATCAAAGGAGTTCTGGAAAGACTCGAAATGGATTTATATACACAACTACTACTAATTAATATCATACGATAAGGCAGACACCAAAATCAATATTTATGCATGAAGAACATGAAGTTTCCTTTGATACAAAATCAAAATTTTAGAAATTTAGCTTCTATGACTGTATAGATTATGTCGTGTATATAATTAATATAACCGACGTGTTGAATTCAACTATTCCTTACAAAGCTCGGTGCGTTATTCAAACAATTAAATGTCCAATTGCGGCCAATTTGCGCCGTCTGCTTTCATGTTACAGCCACTCAATCGTCTTCGGTCATTTTAAAAATTGTCTTAAGTAAATAGACAGCTCGCCCATTTAAAAAAAATTAAAAAATGAGTTATGGAATAAAATGTATTTGCTCTCTGAATACATTGATGATTATTGGCTGAATTGGACTCAATGTTAAGCTTTTAGGTGTCAGTCTTTAGCTCTTCTGTTCAGTTGACATCATTATCATAGAACTTTTATTATATCATCCGATCGGATAGAACTATTCATATATTGCTGTGATAGGGCCACACGCTTGGCCCGTCTGGGTAGAAACCACGACATAATAGAAGACCGCCATGAAGTGGAGGTGTTATACTACTGCGTTTCATCTGGTAAGGTAGCCGGGGTCCACTTTATTTATACGGGGTCCATTTTATGTATATTATACACTAATTACCATAGAGGTGGCAACGCATCTGGAACCATACAGGTGTTGCAAATGTCAAGGGGCGGTGGTTACGATTTAACATCAGGGGAACGGCCAGCTCGTTTGCCACCTTCTCACATAAAAAAACCTACAAGTATCTGTGTTTGATCAATTTGTTCAAAAATTGTAAAAGAAAAATCATAATATGTATAATAAACTGAATAAGGATATAGAACCACGCGGTAAGTTTTTAGATTATCTCGTGATTTCCTACTTTTATTTTAAATTTTTTACGTGGCAAATCTATGAATAATTCACTCCAAACACGGTTATATCACATCAAGGTCAAATTTTAATTATCTCTACCGGAACTTCCATACGTTAGATATAAACCAAAAAGGGATCAGGCATGACTTTAAAACCGTTGTATTTATTGCAAATATTTCGTTAAAGCATATATCGACAAGGATACACACCTTTAGAATTATAGCGAGTTATTAAAAAAATATATAAATTTTTGGGAAACGTAAAATAAAGATTTGTGCACTTACGAACAAACCCAGTGATTGAAGGGGAGTGAAAGAGATCGAAGTATACGTTATGTAGCTTTCTCTCGGCCCTTGTTTTAATCAGTTTTAGGTCCCTTTAATTGTAATGGCGATAGCGTAATAGTAACGATAACCAAAATAACTAATCCAAAAACCGAAAAACGAAACCCCGTATTTATTCTTTACACGAAAGATCGATTTCGATGTTTGGACGGAGCAGTGAGAATTGTCCCGCTGTTCGTAGTAGATGAAAGCTGACTTAACGACTTTTTTTGTTTTATTTGATCAAAAAACCAACAAATACTCGTACCCAGCTTACATCGCTTTCCTTTATACTTTCGATTCAGACGGAAATAGTACCGTAAATTCATCTAAGCTTCCATCTTGTCACTGAACCCGTGAATGTAGAAGTTATATCATAGGAAGAAATATCATTCTTTTAAGATACTGTTCTATAGTATATACAGATGTAGATACTACATACCACCTTGCTGCCGCTAAAACGGTAATGTTCGAAATCGGTGCTTGTTCGAACCGCAATGAACATCTAGACAGTTGCTAGGTTTGTTGAAAAGGGTAACTTCACTCAAATCCCAATTCCTCACACCGCACCCACTACCACGATACGTTGAATACGCCGAGGCCATAACTCAATGGACAATGGCCGAAATGCTCTACCGACCCTGCCCCTTTTGGCGGCGTAATGAAATTCCCCGACCGTGCCCCGGGCGTCCACTGGCTACAGATTAATAACCCAGCGGACAGAATTAACCACGATGTTGCTTCAATTAGTCACAAAAAGTAACAGCAGCTCTGACTAGAAAAATTAAGTTTTCACAACATCGATGTGATCAAATAATTGAGTGAAGTTAACAATAAAGGCCCATTTACACGATGCCATTTTCTTGTACATACAAGAGCAATAATTGAATGCAATAAATTGCGCGCAATAATTGACCATCAAGAATTGTAAGCAACAGTTTACACGCAGATATAGTAAAAAAAATTGAATGCGATTATTGTATGCAAGTCTTGACAAGAAATAATTGCAAATGTCTTTTGTTTACACCAATGCAATTATGTTTAGGCGATTATTGCTTTCAAGTTTTGACTTGTCTAAACACATGCTTGTATGTGCGTGTACAATTTATTGGCCTGTTGCTTCAAGTATTATCCAGCGGTATTTCCAGACCGATACGACTTAGGGACCTTCAAGAAGAGAGCCTATTCCTTCCTTAAAGGCCGGCAACGCAATTGCGACTCAACCGATGTTGCAAATGTCCATGGGCTGCGGTGATCGCTTATCACCAGGTGACCCACATGCTCGTTTGCCTCCTATTCCCATAAAAAAAAAAAAAAAAAAAAAAAAAAAAAAAACGTATTTGCGTTGACAAATATTTCATTCAAGTGTTGAGCGTTTTGAAAAGGGTTGTTTATTTAAAAAAAAATGGGTCAATAATAAGTGTTCAAGTTAGATTATGCCGATTTAATATATTTCTATTGAGATTTATTTATTATTATCCATATAATATTATTTATTCTTTTGTCCAACTTTTTTTACGACCTTCTCTCAATATTTCTATCCTTAAAAGAACAGCAACGATTAAATACCCTCACTCATCGCACTCATGTTTGCAAATGAAGAGAGAAAATTGAATGCAAGAATTGCTTAAGAAATTATTGTATGTGCTGTTTACACCAAGGAAAGTTTTGAAACAAAACTTGAAGCAAGTCTTGTTCAACGGGCAAGAATGTTATGTGCTGTTTAGACCATGCAACTCATTTATTGCTTCAATTTAATTGTATACAACAGGCAAGAAACTTGCACCGTGTCAATGAGCCTTTATAACAATTCTTTGATGGAAAAGGTGTACTTATATCAAGCAGTTCACCAATATCTTTTAAAAGGCGAACCTTACTTTACCTGTTATTCATCCCTATTTTTATATGAAAAGTTGCCAAGCGAGCAGGCGGTTCACCTGATGTTAAGTGAATACCACCGCCCATGGACATCTGCTACACACGAGGGTTGCAGATGCGCAGACAAACTTTTGGAAACTAGGCTCCGGCGTCCTCACTCACCACATGAAACGTGAAAGTGTTATGCTTCCACTTACCGCCGGTGTTCTGTGAGGTCGTGGTACTTACCCGGACGGGCCCGCCCATTGGTGCAACTGCCGAGGCTGCGTGGCTCCTTCTCTCGATAACAGAACAATGTTCAATCTAACACATGGCTTTTGAAAATCTGCGGTACTTCCCCGGAACAATGTCGCCCCAATCTACCACGATGAAAAAGACGACAGTTTCTTTCAGCGTTTATCTTTTGTATATTGATATAACAAAAAAAATACTAGTAAAGCGCTCAATGGCACAGCGCTTATCCCGCGCGAACAAAAAGATAACGACACTGATAAAGTTACACTATCTAAATGTATATCTATTTAACTATTCGGATTTCGACCATGTGTCCATGTCGAACATGTATTCGTAATGGAAAACAATTAGTGTTCGAACGTACAACGCATAAATTAATATCGATAAAGACAACATACGATATAAATAAGTTATAGTAATAAAATGCCATAAGTATCTTAAACATCTTCAATGTCGCTTTTAATCACATTTAATATTAACGATTAGATTTTTTCGCTCCTATTTATACGACGATCGGTATTCTTCGGAATCTTCGTATTGTAACCATAACTACTTAAGCGATTTATCGCTTTTATTCGATGTTCAAATTCCAAACGACTAGGACGCATTGGATCCTTTTACTTATAAAATTAAAACCAAGGACATAAAAAGCGCAACACGTCAAAATATTTCATACATTTATTTTCTGCATAGATTTGAACAAAATGAATACTTAAGAAATAGGTACACGTTCGCTGAGATTAGCACCAGAGTCTGTCAGGAATTTTATAAACAAATTAAACACGACAATATCCAAAAAAAATGTTTTATTTACAATGTGCAAGATAATAATCAGAAATATTCAAAGATATTTGTTAACTCTCAGAAAAGATAAATAAATAAAGAACCAACTACACCGAAGTGTCTTATGCAGGTACTGTAATTTTATAAAGGAGCCGATAATTTACAATCGATGTATTTGCATTAACTACTGAAAATGAATCTCATCATAGCTACAACGCGTTGTGGGAGTTTAAATTCATTCAGCATCACTACATAGTATAATACAAAGCCGTCCCGCTGTCTGTTTGTACCTATGTATGCTTATATCTTTAAAACTACGCAACGGATCTTGATGCGGTATTATATACGAGTACAACATGCGCTGTGAACCAATAATACACGAATATACATTGCAAAATGAGTTAGCTCCTAGAAACAATAGAGCTGGAGTGAAATGCTGGAGTAAAATGACAATCCAAGTCCTCACCTTTTTCTGCAGTAAGACCACGCAGCCGCTACTGCTGTTACGAGTATACGATGGGGTACTTGATGGGATCATCTTGCAGGAGCAGATTGTTGTTGGGAAAAATGTGCGCGGCCGCACAGTGGACCGGCGTAAAGTGATAATGTCGTACTTTCGCGTTAGTCTGGTCAGTGAGGTAACTGGGGGCCTTGTGTCAACATCAGGTGAACTGTGAACTCTAGTCAACGCATAAACGAACGTCAGACCACCACCGCCAGTGCCTGAGTCACCACCGCCAGTGCCGAGTCACCACCGCCAGTGCCTGAGTCACGAGTCACCACCGCCAGTGCCTGAGTCACCACCGCCAGTGCCTGAGTCACCACCGCCCAGTGCCCGAGTGTGTCACCACCGCCAGTGCCCGAGTCACCACCGCCATGAACTGCAGTCACCGCGCCCAGTTGCCCCGAGTCACCACCTGCCAGTGCCCGAGTCACCACCGCCAGTGCCCGAGTCTGTCACCACAGTGCCAGTGGCCTGAGTCACCACCGCCAGTGCAGAGTCACCAACCGCCAGTGCCCGAGTCACACCAACAGCCAGTGCCCGAGTCAACGAGTCCCACCACCGCAGTGCCCGAGTCAACAAAGCCCCGTGCCCGAGTCCTGAGTCCACCGCCAGTTCCCACCCCAGTGTCTCCGGAGTCCGCAGTGCCCGAGTCGCCAGTCAGTCGCCAGTGGTGGGTCCCACAGAGTGGGCCAGGTGGGTCCACCGCCGCCAGTTCCTGTGTCACCACCTCCCGTCCCCGAGTCACCACCGCCAGTGCCTGAGTCACCACCGCCAGTGCCCGAGTCACCACCGCCAGTGCCCGAGTCACCACCGCCAGTGCCCGAGTCACCACCGCCAGTGCCCGAGTCACCACCGCCAGTGCCTGAGTCACCACCGCCAGTGCCCGAGTCACCACCGCCAGTGCCCGAGTCACCACCGCCAGTGCCTGAGTCACCACCGCCAGTGCCCGAGTCACCACCGCCAGTGCCCGAGTCACCACCGCCAGGTTCCCGTGTCTCCACCGCCCGTACCGGAGTCACCGCCACTCTCCGGCGCAGTCGTCGTAGTCGTCGTGGTGGTAGTGGTGGTGGTAGTGCTGGATGTCAACTCCTCCAGTTCACGGCTCAGTCGGTTCCTTTGGCCGGCCATCGCCAAAGTAGAAACGAACAGACAAAAAGACAGCAGACTGAGGAAAACTATGATTTTGTTGTTCAACATCCATCCCACGGTCCTCTCTAGGTAATATTTAAAGGACATTTTCCTCGCTTGATTTTGTTCGGATAGTAATAGTAGCGTCCGCTTCGAGTGCCTTTTTAGATTGGAATACGTCGCGATAGCATTTTATCAGACGAGGTAGAACACTATCAATGATACGATAAACATATACCTCGGCATCGTATGGAAGGTGCTATGTTCACGTCGACAAAGCTAAGTTCATCCCACCTTTATTACACGAATCTGTATTTAATCGATGTCAGAGGACGGATAATGATTTGTAAATAATCGTACATCTTGGGACCCCTTTGTCAATCAATATTGCCAACGTCATATAGAGTAATGTTGGAGTTGATATTTCGACAATTTTCACAAGATTTGCAGTTATTGACGCAATATTTGAATAGCGTTAGTTCATCATATCGGCGCGCGTTTCGTAGCGACAGATTTTCGGAACAAACAACAATCACTCCATTTAAAACGCTAACAAAATTGGCATAGAGTTAATGTATGTTTGTTTGTCCTCTATGGAAAAACTGAAAAAAATACCGTTGTGAAAAGAAAAATTTTACATACAGAAATAGTAAAATCCATCTCTTATTCATTATTTGAATGTTATACAAATTTAAAGTGCGATTAGGCAATTATTCATTTAATAACACTTCTCTTTAATTCAAAACTTTTTAGAAAATAATAATTACTTCTCATTAGACACATAGATAGCTCCACGAAACATTATTTCTGTAAAAAAATAATGGGAATATATTATGATCTTATGCCAACGGTGGACTAAAACTGTCCGAATCGATGATGATGGTGAATGTAGGTACATCAAATAGCAGAAACTGTTAGAATATTTTATGTTTCATTGAACATTCACGTTAAAGCGTACTTAGTGACTACTTCTTACGACACATTTTATCGTAGGCATGTTTTTTTTTAAATATGTCAGCAGGAGAATAATCATATTGGGTCATAAAGTTCTCGGTTAAAAAACCAACTTCTAAACAATGGTCGCCGGTTACCTCGCACACCGAACCAAATGGGGAAACTATAAATACTTAAGTGCAGAGATTAGCACTATGGAAAATTTAAATTTATAAATACTTGTAATTTATACCGGACCATTGCCATTTAAAATAAGTCTTAACCAATTCTCATCAGGCAGGTGACAAAGGCCAAATACAATCCGAAGGCTTCTCCATTTGCATATAAAATGCTTTATGAATATCGTCCACGTACCTCTAAGTACTCGTACCCTATGCACTTTGCGTCTCATAAATTTCGAACAACCATCATAACTGTTTGCCGCTCAACCAATAATCATCGCGCGTCCCCCTCACTCGCTATGATCTCTACGCGGGTGCGACGGGGACGGACCGAATCGCGATCTGTATCATTCGCGTTAGATTTATACGCTCATTTGTAAATAATGAAGGCGCCAAGCATTGTGATGGTGCTCCCATTGTGGACGACCCAACACTTCTCTGACGCAGGGTTGGCAATAACACCAATATGTGTTATCACTACATAGTATAAAACAAAGTTCCCGTCCCGCTGTCTGTCCGTCCCTATGTATGCTTAGATCTTTAAAACTACGCAACAGATCTTGATGCGGTTTTTTTACTAGATAGAGAGATACAAGAGGAAGATTTATATGTATAATACATTGCACCCGTGCGAAGCCGGGGCGGATCGCTAGTACTTTACTTAACTGACGTAAAGTCATATATATTGTTTATAAAAATAAGAACGTTCATGATTATTTTTGAAGTAGTAATACTTGTTTTGGTGCCATTTGAAAAAAAATTGAGAGTAAAATTTTTACGATGCGAGCACACCGACAGTTAAAGCGACGTGATTATATTGATTGCAATGCGACGAATTAACGACTCACTTCAGATTATTGTCATGGCAACTAATAACAACTTTTAACATTTGTCTATAATTCCAAGTTATTTATTTAATCCGTTATCAATTGCATTCAATGTAATTTTGTCAAAAACAAAGGCTACCGTGATAATTTTTTTCTTTATTTTACTTTTTTACGCTTCTTTGTTATTGTTTTCGAAATACGCCAGGTATTAAACTCAGCCCTACTTTTAGGCCAATTACTTAAAGTCAGTATGGAGATTCACCGCGTCTCGCGACTGCGCGTGCCTCCAAATGTGTCCATACAAATCGACAGAAATCTAGGACACCGCGAGATTTGCTTCCCGAGTCAACCACTGAATAGCCTGGCCGGATGAATAAAAAGCCTTGGTACCTATGTGGTATGACAACAATCCCATAGAACAATGGCCATTTTTCTATGGGAGCTATTCCAAATCATGACCAAAAGCTAGAAACTTAACATTTTAAAACGAGTAATGATTATTTAATCACCTTTAAAGCAACGATTTTTGTATAATCAAAAACGAAAATAAAGTTTTCCTTATCTTATATTAAATTCTGTTAGCAAATTAATTTTGTCAGATAAATTATTCATCAATAAAACTGTATTTACTAACTAAAAGTTGAAATGTACATATAAAATAATTCCTTTAGTTGAAATGAAATAGTTATTTTTATTTAATCATATTGTACATAGGTTCAACGAGTTCTAAACTATAACCAAAAATCGAGTTACTGTTAATAAAGGCTACTTAAAAAGATGATTTTTACTTCAGAATTGGTCATCTAATAACAAAAATTATGTAAGTATTTCAAACATAGATAAATAACTTCAAAGACATGGTCGCCCTATCGCTTTGTCTACAGATGAGTGCGCCGCTTGATTCAGGGCGCCCTCCAACCGCGACAAGAAAGCGCTTGTAGCTTGGGCCGTAGACGCTTAATTTCGCGAAAAAACCCACCCAACTGGTAATCGAGCACTTTATAATTAGCGTGTAATTCTTATGAAATTCATAAAGAAAGGGCAGGGGTGTCCTTTGTTTTTTTTTGTTTTTCCTTTTCCCTGTATTGTCTGTGACTCGACAACAATCTGCCGTAGATGAAGTTCAAATCTATATAAATTGAAACATTCAATTTTGCCTCGAGTCTATATCATTGTTTACGCTAAACCTAATCTACCAACAGTTAGCTCGGATTCAACTTCGACGTACAGATGTGTCATATTTCGTTATAAAAAGTAAAATAAAGAAACTGCCTACATATATCCCACTGCTGGGTAATGAGCAAAGTCCATAGTCCCCACTGCTGATTGGAGGACCACACATCTTCAATTTTTTTTGTTCATAATACAATTGTTGAAAACCTTAATCCCCATTTGTAACTACACATTTAATACGTTTCGTCACACGAAACGATCACTTAAATTCAAATAGACAAATAAAAATAAATATCGTTGAAAACGGGGAAAACCACTCAACGTCTTTTTTCCCGCCGAATACCGAATTCGTCGGCTTACTGGCAACGCACAAATAAACAGCGTCTCGACCGCAATACTACCAACACCCCCCTGAGCACCGCCGCGCGCCCGCCTTAAAAAATCCGACGGGACCGTAGACGATTCGACCACGTCTTAAAACGATTACAGACAGTCGACGAGGTGCTAAGGGGAGCGGTACACGTAAATCGCATTAGATATGTTAAATCTCGGCCCCGGGGGGGGCGACGGTGGATTTTTTCCCCGTGTTACATTTACGCGTATCGCTTACCTTCGCGATTATTGTGCGGCCGCCATTTGCATTTGCGCGGGCTGTACGCCGACCGCGTGTTCTTGAGCTCACGCGTCGCAACCAAGAAACCACTCCAAAAGAACTTTATGAGTAATTAGCGATCCGCTCCGGCTTCGCACGGGTGCAATGTATATAATAATAAACCTTTTATACATATTATAAACCTTCCTCTTGATCCTCTATCTATTAAAAAAATCGCATCTAAAGATTTATATTTTTGACCGCATTTAAAGATCTAACCATACATAGGGACATACGAAAACCGGAACGACTTTGTTTTATACTATAAAAATATACTAATAATAATGAAGGAAAGACCATACGTTTATAACTCAAGCACTTTATAGAAACACAATCGACAGAAAACAATACCGAGTGAAGTTGAGAACCTTTGGCTTGCAATGCGGTAGTGATCTCTAAGCATCAAATACATTGTTACTATCTCTTTTTTAACAGTGGTAGGGCCACGCAGCAGCCTCGGTTGTTGCACGAAAGGGCAGGCTCGTCCGGGTAAGTACCATGACCTCACAGAAGACCGGCGTAAATTGGAAGTGTAATACTTTCGCGTTTCGTCTGGTGAGTGAGGTAGCCGGAGCCCAATTTTCAAAAGGTTGTCAACGCATCTGTAACCCTCAGGTGTAACAGATGTCCATAGGCGGCCGTATTCACTTAACATCAGGTGACCCGTCTGCTCGCTTGGCAACTGTTCACAAAAAAAAATTATTATTTGCTTTTAACCCATCGTTCACACTATATGTTTATTCAATGAGATTAGTTAAATAAACTATTTCCACAATTGATTTAATTGCGCCCATTGATTCCGGCTAGATTTAAACTTTCCGTATTATTCACGAACTATCTATATCTATAAAAACGGCAAAAAACCATGTTGTATGGGAGCCAAACTTGAATATTCTTTATTCTGTTTTTTAGTGTTTGTTGTTATAGTGGCAACTGAAATACATCATCTGTGTCATCATCACCTGTCTAACTATCACGGTTCACGAGATGCAACCTGGGGACAGGCGGATAGAAAGACAGACAGCGGATACAACGGAATTTTTAGCCCTAAAAAAATAATTAAACGGGACCCTATTAGTAAGACTTACTAATAGGGTCCCGTTTTGCCCGTTTTGCCCAAACTCTTAGGCTAAAAACGACTGACCTCGTGTTTCAATAAGTAATTCTTTACACAAAATTAAAAAATTCTATTATTCGAAAAATATAAATGACCAAAACCTCGTAATCGTCGTATTGAGATGTCATTCTTTATGACTTTCTTTCCCGTCGAAACAGACCTTTCAGAAATTTTCAACAGTCCCAGCCTTGCGAATGTCAGTGAGAA